ACCAGCCTGTTTGGAACATGTGAGAAGTAGAAAGTACAGGTATTTGTGTTCAACATGTAAGAAGTAGAAAGTACAGGTATTTGGGTTCAACATGTAAGAAGTAGAAAGTACAGGTATTTGGGTTCAACATGTAAGAAGTAGAAAGTACAGGTATTTGAGTTCAACATGTAAGAAGTAGAAAGTACAGGTATTTGAGTTCAACATGTAAGAAGTAGAAAGTACAGGTATTTGAGTTCAACATGTAAGAAGTAGAAAGTACAGGTATTTGTGTTCAACATGTAAGAAGTAGAAAGTACAGGTATTTGTGTTCAACATGTAAGAAGTAGAAAGTACAGGTATTTGTGTTCAACATGTAAGAAGTAGAAAGTACAGGTATTTGTGTTCAACATGTAAGAAGTAGAAAGTAAAAAGTCATCAGAAAAATAAGAAGTGGAGTAAAGTACTGATACCAGAAAAATGTCCTTAGGTACCGTAACAAAGTATTTGAACTCCACTACTTCCCACCTCTGCCTGTCTCCATATCAAACAGGCACACCCAGGTGGGATAACAAGAGGAGTAATCATGTGTTCAGAGGGGTTTTATTTCAAATGAAGAACAAATAAAGACATTCTGTCAAAAAGCATAATTGGCGTAAAAGTTCTAAATATCTTTGGAGTTCAACACTTCTCATTTCAACCTGCTCATAAAAAGCTCCTTTCCATTCACACAAACTTGCTGAGAGAGACGTTCCACAATGTTTACTACGTCTTGAGCCAACATGTTTTCAAATGAGCAGTTTTCTTTTTACTTCTTTGAGGTCCATCAAAGATACATTTCCTTCACATTGTGTCAGTTCTTTTGAATATAGAGACGTATAACTCCAAACGTATTAAACATTCGGATGCTTCTCTTAATTAGGAGTCTTAACACTTAGTGAGGCAATAACTAAACGTGTATTCACCCTTTTGATCTCCTTGCGTAGACGTTCGTTTTCCATCACTATTTTCTCCAGTCCTTTGGTTTTAGATTCAAGTTTGGATCTCAGCTCAGCTTCACCGGCACTCTTCAGTTTCTCATAGTCCGTCTACAGAGAACAACAATATTTACCGTCAGCTGCAGAACAGAACAGTTAAGTATACAAACAATGTCTATGTTTATTTTCATTTTCATGGCTCTGTTGTTTGAGTTATATTGAGAAGCATTTTTTTTTTCATTTTTTTTTTTTTTAATATAAATGTTTTTGGTTTCGTTAGTGTGGGCATGTGCGGGTGGAGGGAGGAGGGAGGGGGGAGTGTAGTGAGTGTACTGTGATATTACAATCTATGAAATGGCATCGATTATTGTACACTATAATGAAATAAAAAGACTTGTAAAAAAAAAAAAAGTATACAAACAAGTAGTAACAGAATTATAGTTGACATGAAGCTACGGACCTTCAGTCTGTCATTCTGTTGCTCCAGGGCAGACATCTTGTCTTGATTTGACGACGCCCCGGACTTCTTCAGGGTCTCATTCTCTCTCTGCACCCTCTCCACCACCTTCTTCATCAGCCCGATGGTCTTCTCCAGCTCTGGGACTGTCTTACCGCTGTGACCGGCCTGACGACGAACACAAATGAGATCAGCTTTCATAATCTCCAGATGCAACAGGAGGTTGGTTGATTCAATATTTCATCTACCGGTATATCATTTTTTGTTATTACTGTCGATTTGTATTCCATATTTTATTCCATTTCTGTGTAAATACTGTTATATTTTACAATATTTGTTATTATTTTTAATATTTTTCTACTTCTCTATATGTGTTTTTTAATTTTTGTTATCAAGTCAAATTCCTCGTACAGTACGTGTCAACCTACCTGGTGAAAAACCTGTTTCTGATTTATTTTATTTCTGTTTCTCGGTAGATGAAACGTTTTTCCATCTGAAATAAAGACTTTTATTTTTATTTTTTTTCTGTGTAAATGTGACTTTAGATACGTACTCCGCGTATATGCATCAGCTTTTTGTCCACCTCTGCCTTTTCCTTCTTCAGCGCGCTGCACATCTCCTTCAGGTCTGCCACTTGATTCTGTGAAAAAAAGGCTCTCTTTTAAATGTGCTAAGTTATGATATTAAAATGACGGGGTCAACTTTATCACTATAACTGAAATCATTGTTTGGTTTCAGGCAAGTTCATTTATTTTAACACATTATTTGAAAACACTCTGTTTCTAAAACACAACATGGTACAGATGAATATAGATATATGTACCGGTATTTGCTTTTTGATTTGACAAAAAACTAATTTCAGTTCTCATTAGAAGGTCAAATTGAGTGGAAATCCAATATGACCCGTCTCAATCCTTCACCTGGTCACCATGACCTTTGACCCCTAACGCATCACAGTCCAAGTGCTATTTATTTAATGTGTACTTTATTATTTGCCCTTCTTGTTTGTTTATTTGTTAACAGAATTTAAAGCAGCCTTGGGTCCTTTGAAAGGTGCTATACAATGTAATCTATTATTCATAATTGAGTTGTGGGGTCTGTACTTGCAGAGACCCCGCAGCTTTTCTCAACCTTTCCTTCCTTTCTCCTCAGTTTGCTGTGCTCTGGACTTTCTGTGCATCAACTAGGGGCAACATTAATAATATGTTTATTTAGTATAGCACCTTTCACACTAATATAATTCACAAAGTGCTTCACAAGTAAGAACAACAGTTAAAATGTAAGACCACAGAAACATGAGTACAACATGAGGCAGACACTTAAGGTCAACATAAAAACAAAACACAGACCAGGTGGAGTCCTGAGAGGAACAGAACACATCACACACATCTCAGATAGAAACAAAAGCCAATGTAAAAAGATAGAGAGAACGTATCCAAGAGCAACGGATGAAAAACAGCGGACACAGCGCCAAGAACAAATCTGGTTTTGGCTTTAATTTCTTTTAATGTGACGGGGGAAGGATTTCTTAATATTGTTATTTAGAATAAATATACTTTGCTGGATCACAAGGCATTGAGGATGTTGTACTGTTCACTTATTTTGCCATATTGTATAGAAGTGTGGGGCAACACGTACACGAGCAACATAAAGCCATTGTCAATATTACAGAAAAGGGCAGTATGGATAGTTCATAAAGCTGACTCAAGAGAACACAACAGACTGCTTTGAAGTCAGGACTCTTGAAACTCAAAGACATAGCTGAGCTGCAGACATGATCAGTAACGCTCAGGGCAAAAAGCAGAATGTATATTTACAACAGTTGTTTGTTTTTAGATTAGACAAGGAAGACCACAGAAGGAAATTAAATGTTAAGCATCCTTATGCAAGGACTACTCTTAAGCAAATGTGTATTTCGGTGGTTGGTGTACAATTGTGGAATTCTCAACAAAAGGATCTAAAGAACTGTATTTGTATTTTTC